GTTTCACTTGGGTATTGTTCCTAGCTAGCAAAAGTGAAGCTTTTCAAAATTTTGAGTCTTTAACTAGGAAATTGGAAAATGAAAAGCAATCTAAGGTTGCTAGCATTAGAAGTGATCATGGTGGAGAATTTATCTCAGAAGAGTTTGAACACTTCTGTAATAAGCAAGGAATAAGTCAAAATTTTTCTGCTCCTTGAACTCCGCAACAAAATGGAGTGGTGGAAAGGAAAAATCGGACTTTGATTGACATAGCTCGAACAATGTTACATGACGATGGTGTGCCTAAGTACTTCTGGGCTGAAGCCATAAATACTGCATGCTATATTACTAATCGAGCTTTGATCAGATCTGGAATTAAGAAGACTCCTTATGAGATTTGGAGAGGAAGAAAACCCAATCTGAGTTACTTCCATCCCTTTGGTTGCAAGTGCTTTGCATTAAACACCAAAGATCACCTTGGGAAGTTTGATGCCAAGTCCGATGAATGTGTGTTTTTAGGCTACTCCATGACTAGCAGAGCTTATAGAATATTCAACAAAAGGACTCTCAAAGTGGAAGAGTCCATAAATGTTATATTTGATGAATATGCTAATGAGGTTTCAGATGAGATAGATGAAGATGATTTTGGACTTGGTGGGAGCTATGATCTACCAAGGACATCAAACACGGAGAAATCTGAACCCAGAACGATCATTTCTGAAGATCAAGATAAAACTGTAAGTACTACAAACTCTCCAATCGAGCAAGACCATGAAGTAAGACAACCCCCTCCTCATATTGCCAAACGTCATCCATCTTCACTTATGATAGGAGGGCTAAATGAAGGTATGGTCACTCGCTCTAGAATTCAATTGTGCATACTGCTTTTGTGTCATTGATTGAACCTAAAAACGTGTTAGATGCCTTGAATGATGAAAACTGGAATGCTGCTATGAATGAAGAAATGGGTCAGTTTGAACGAGCTAATGTGTGGGAGTTGGTACCCAGACCACCTAATAGAGTTATTATCGGGACTAAGTGGATTTATAAGATCAAGTCTAATGAAAATGGGGTAGCAACTAGAAACAGGGCTAGGTTAGTGGCTAAAGGGTATAATCAAGAAGAGGGAATAGATTTCGATGAAACCTTTGCCCCGGTTGCCAGATTAGAAGCTATTAGAATGTTATGTGCGTTTGCTAGCTCTAAGGGTTTCAAACTTTTTCAAATGGACGTCAAAAGTGCCTTTTTGAATGGAGATTTAAAAGAGGAAGTGTATGTTGAACAACCACCCGGTTTTGAAGACTTTCGATACCCAAACCATGTCTATAAATTAAAGAAAGCGCTATATGGTCTTAAACAAGCACCCCGGGCATGGTATGAAAAACTTAGTTCCTTTCTTGTAGGAGAAGGCTTTAAAAGGGGCTCAGTGGATAAAACTCTCTTTATAAAAAATAAAGGACAACATATGCTACTAGTTCAAATATATGTTGATGACATTATATTTGGATCTTCTAGCAAAGAGTTGTGCGAATATTTTGAAAATATCATGAAGAAAACTTTTGAAATGAGTGCCATGGGAGAACTAACATACTTTTTGGGTTTGCAAATTAAACAAACAACTCGAGGAATTTTTATTAGCCAAACCAAATACATTCAAAATATGTTAAAACGCTTTGATTTTGGGAATCTAAAAACTGCAACTACACCTATGGCCTCTACGATTAAACTAGACAAGGATGAGTCGGGTAAGTCAATTGACGAGAAGTTCTATAGAGGAATGATTGGGTCACTAATGTATCTTACTGCTAGTAGACCCGATATTCAATTCAGTGTGTGTTTGTGTGCTAGATTTCAAAGTGCTCCTAAGGAAAGTCATCTGACTGCTGTCAAGAGAATCTTTCGTTACTTAGCTGGCACAATGGATCTAGGTCTATGGTATGATAGTGAGTCAATTCTTGATCTAATTGGTCATAGTGACTCAGACTATGCTGGGTGCATAGTTGATCGTAAGAGTACTTCCGGGACATGTCAATTTCTCGGAAACTCTCTTGTGTCTTGGTTTAGCAAAAAACAAAGCTCTGTTGCTCTATCCACCGCCGAGGCTGAATACGTGGCCGCTGGCCTGTGCTGTACTCAACTCCTTTGGATGAAGCATCAACTTTGTGACTATGGGTTAGAGATAAAGTCCATGCCCGTATTGTGTGACAATACGAGTGCCATTAACATGGCAAAAAATCCCGTACAGCATTCTCAAACCAAGCACATAGAAATTAGGTATCATTTCATTCGAGAATTGGTTGAATAAGGTCAAATTCAACTTGAGTTTGTGCCTACGACGACCCAATGGGCGGATATTTTTACTAAACCTCTAAGTATTGATCAATTCCTAATCATTCGTAGAGAACTTGGGCTTATTCCTTCTAGTGAGATTAAAGATCTAAGGTGAAATTAACATGAGTTATTAAAATTAACTTAACATAAGAAGCCTGCTAAATCTCTCGGCCCTAATCTATTCCTTGTGGCCTGGTAATTTAAGCCACTCACAGACTTTGTGGGCCGAAACCAGCGCCCTTCCCTGTCCTTCTCCCAGACTTGCTTGGGATTTCCACTGTCGAGCCCATTTCTAACTTTCTAATTCTCGGGTTGGAGCCACTCTCTAGGTCTGTGGGCCTAAGCCCAACCTCAACCTCCAGCAAACTCTCTAAACTTGGACTTCTACTTTCTAGTGAGCTTAAAGATTTAGGTTATAATTAGCTTGTGTTGTTGAGGCTCAAATTAATTTTCCTAAGTTTAGAGCTGCCCATCAGGCTTTGTGAGCCGATTCCCTTGAGTTAATTTCGTTCGTGTGATTCAAGGAAGGTAAAGCTTGCCTTTCCTTCTTCCTCTGGTGTCGAGCTGCATCCTAAAATCCCTAACAACTCAAGCTCTATCAATTCTTCGCAAAGATTCCCTTTCAAATCTTCCCCAAAGGAAGCTCGAATCTCATGACGGGGGGATGCGATGGGTTGAAAGCTCGTCAATGTCCCAGGGGTAGACAAAGACAAAGCTGCTGAAATAGCATTCATATCTTCTCCAGAGTATTCTTACTAGGAGTATCAGCTATTAGGCTTAGGGGGAGATCCATAACTACTCTTTGAGCTGTCTAAGAGTCCTAGTTTATTTTGGGAGTGTCAGTCTAGTTGTGTGTACTTCATCCAAGTATCAAATGTTCTTTGATTTTCGTTGCCTTTGAAGAAAATGATTCCTAGCTGTTTTTGGTTTATGTGTATTCTTTTAAGCATATTATTAGGACAGGCTGCACCAAATTATTTGTTGAAGTGTGCAGTATACAACAGCTATATATATTGGGCCATTGACAAGCTTAGGGGGAGTATGTTGAGTCAAGCATATCAATGGCTGCAATCAAAGAAGGAAAATGCTACAATCTTGTAAGTAAAGGAAAGAAAATCAAAGACAACATAAAGGAGGAGAGATTCTGCAATCAGCAAGAACAATAAAGGAAAGAATTTCCCAATGGCTAGCTATAGGTCAAAGATGCTGATTTGCCACCTAGCAAATCAACACAAAGAAGGAAGGTTCTAACGGCTGAAAAATTAGAGAAGAAATCAGATCATGAAGATTGGATACAACAGTACACAATGAGGCTCAAATGACCAGCTCACTACAAATCAAATTAGAGGATTAAGTTCTCAATCAAATCATCACAAATAGGGAAGGAATTTGAATGACTAACGGTCATATTCCTGCCTATAAAAGGCGACCTGAAGAACTAGCAATGGTAACCTTTCAAGAGATCAACATAGCTAGCTAAGACAAAAGGGGATTTTGTGAGAGTAGCAAGGTTGATAGGAAAGGGGGTTTTCTCAAAGGGTTCGGGGAGAATTGCTTTGAGGGTTAGTGTTGGGGAAACACTGGTTTCGAGTTGCTGGGGAAGCAATTCGGGTTTGAGAAAAGAGAGCTAGATCAATCGGGTAGAGGTTGATCAAAGGGCTCTTGGGTAGATTGCTTGTAACGAAGAACTTCAACGCCATATCATAGTGAATCGTTAGAGATCACTCGATCGTGATTCTCTGACGGTGGAGTAGTCAGTATTGGGATTCTTATTCTCCCAATACTGGAAACCACGTAAAAATCGTGGGCTGTGTTCTTATTCTGCTTTTCAGTTTCAGTTTTGTATGCACCTCTGTGTGTGTTCTGTTTCAAGTCTGAGTGTGCAGGGAAATTCGATCAAGAGTAGCTAAGGAAGACGAACGGTCAGAACTGGGTTGGAGAACCTATTGCGACCTGGTTTGATTTAATTTTCATCATAATTTTCTGGGTTTATACTGTTGTGTTCTTTGAGTTCTTCCCCTGTTCTTCACTCAAATAGAAACTGGTCTCAGCTGGATCGAAATTACTCAAGCGGGAAAGGTAGACTTAGTTTGATTTAAAACTCTGACGTTTTTGTTCTTCACTTAGAAGCTCGGTCGGGTATAGAAATTGGTTGAACTGGGCTTTCAGGTTTTTACATTCCTCTAACTCAAACAATCGGGCTTATAGGCCCATTCCGGTAAGACTTAAGTTCTAATAGGTGGGTTTCGATTTAGCTGTCTAAGTGAGGGTGAAACTTTAATTAATTAGCCTAGCCGTGTTGAAAGAAGCAGAAGGCAGTTAGTTGTTTTAGGACATATATTAAATCTGTCTCTCATCTTTCTTTGTGCCAAACATTATCATAGAGCTTAAATTGTGGTCAAGTTATTTGAAAGACAGGTATAAAGTCTCGCGCTCGACGCAACCAACAGGACTATCATCAGAATTATTATCCAAGGTTTGGATCATATAATCCTGTCTTTGGGGATGTGGTGTGTTGGCTCTCCACATTATGGATGTTCAGGTTTTTAGTTGGTCTTGTTGTGTTGCCCATCTCAAGGGTTTTGTGGTGGACTTGTCATCTTTTCGCTCCATCTTGGAGTTCAAAAGCTCTTTAGAGAAGTGGCTAATGGATTCGGATATGCATTCTTCCATCCAGTTACTAATAAACAATGCGGGGATTCTGGCAACATCGGCTCGACCCACTGCTGAAGGCTATGATCAGTAACCTTCATTTCCCTTGACTATTTAGTGACGTACTGACATGTTACCAATGACATTAATGCTTAAGTGGCTTGTTATACAGCTCTCTCCTTGACATTTGTACATGACCTTTTAGAGATGAAGGTTCTTGTTTCATGTTTTAATCCCCTAACCCAACTAAAAGGTTGTTCATTTGCATAAAATATCCATGAACTGCTGTTATGCTACTTTGGCCTTCCAGCATGACCTATCCTCTGCACTGGCTGAGATGAAAATTTCTTTTGCTTGATAAGCCTACTTTAGTTCTGCAGTGAATGCTGCTTCTTAGGTCTACACCGTTCTATTTTAATTAACCCACGACTCTGCTAGATTTGTTAGCCATTTTAATCATGCTCTGGAGTTGATTTATCACTAGCAAATTTGTCTGAACGTCTGTCCCTCTTTTTAACTAAACTTCTACTACCCCTTCTCAAAACTAGCCCTATTGGTTCACGTATAGTGAATGTGACATCATTTACTCATCGAGCAGGTATGAACTCTAGTTATCCAGTATATCATATTTGTAGTAGCTGAGGTGATTTAGCCCTCTTTTCATTGAACCTATTTGTACCATGTTTTGGTTTTCTCTGCACGTTTAAGTCCATAGAATGCTCTCTCAATATATCAAGTTCTTCACTGGTCTCTATTTGTGAGACAAGTTTTCCTTAGAAGTCTTAAAGTTTAAAGGTCTGAATGTTTTTTTAACAATAAGTCAGGTCATAGTCTGAATATCCTATAGGGCTTTTGACATCTATAAAAGGGGAAAAACTAACCTCGCGTGGTTAATTTTCTCTTAGTCTTTGGTGCACAGATTATTGAAGACATTGTTACCGGGAAATGCTTCTTCAGATCAAAAGAATACCCATGTGCTCGTATATATCAGTACTCAAAATGTAAGCTCGAGTTTCCTCCTTGCATGTTGAGTAGATTATCTCTGAACTGGCGCCCACTCAGTCATGCCGTTTTGTAGTGTGCCTCCTTCTGTTCACCTATGAGCTTCACCGGCAGCTTAATTTGGACAACAAGCCTGGTCACGTCTCTTTCCTGTATGTGCTCTTGACCTTAGTTCTTGTGCTTGAGCTGCACTAAAAGAGATTCAAGATTCAGAAAAGTACATCTCATCGAGACTGATATTTGTTTCATAATTGCTTTAATTTTATGTTTCTTGATCGACTCGTTTCCGATTTTGTTTCGTAAAGTGTTGCCCATCCAGGAATGGTCAAAACCAACATCATGCAGGAAGTTCCTTTTTCCCTTTCGAGCATTGTGTATCTGGTGTTCAGAGTACTGGGACTTCTACAGTCACCGGAGAATGGGATTAACTCCATCCTCGATGCCGCTTTGGCCCCATCAGTAAGTTCTCCAGCTGCTGACTCTGCCATTGAATTAGAATGAAAACGACCCCTTTTTACTTTTCACTGACCTGAATAATCGTCCTGCCCCATGTCAGCACGTGTCTGGAGCTTACTTCTTTGGTGGAGATGGCAGTACTTTGATGTCTTCCATGCTTTCTTACGACACCAGACTCGCAGAGAAGCTCTGGAACATCTCGTGCAATCTGCTCTTGGACATAAAACTTGCTTCCCAAGCCACCTCTTCTTCAAGTTATTGTTGTACATCACCGGCAGAGGGACATGCATAGATATACTTCGTGAAGCAAATACAAGTTCTTGCAGCTACTGAAATATGCATCTGGAGGATCTTCGAAATACAACGAAATCAGAAGTTTCTTGGGTTGCGCTCTGTTACAGGCTCCTCGAATCTCTGCAATGAGAATGAGGCTGGTGGGCTTAAGATTTGGCTGGTAAGTCATCTTTTCATGGGACCATCCATTGTGAAACCTATTTATGGATGGTTTGGCGTTTGAATCCTTGACGCAGGAAGAGCTTCCAGCCTCCGTCGTGAGCTGCAGACGCTAGATAAGACACATGGTTCGACACCTTAGCGGTTCGGCGGTTCGGTCCCATTATCGAGGATGGGAATGGAGTTAACTTACTGAGCTGCCCACTGCGTAGCAAAATGAATCTTTTATCGAAATGTCGATTAGTATTGATGACCGCTTGTACCTTTCAATTTTGTAACCTCCTATTGATTTACAATCTATCTATGGCAAAAAAAAAAAAAAAAACCTATTGATCATTGTTGGCTGTTGACACTGAATTAAGATGAAAAGTGATGTTACTAGCTCTTGCGTTTGAAGTTTATGCCCTTAAAAAGTCTAATTGTAACAGTCATGGGTTCCGTTCGAGGGTTTTCTAAGAAATATGGATCTAGACGTCTCCTTCTAGGATTTTGAGATTGAGAATATATTTGGAATTAGAGATTTGGTATCGATCAGGGATTGAATTGGGGAAGAGATATTTCTTGAGATAGAAGAAAGAAGGGAGAAGAGAGGTTTGGCTCCTTGGTAATCAAATTGGTAAGTAATTAAGTATATGATTTATAATGTAAAATAACATTTATTTGAGATAGTTTGAGTGATAACTCATTTATTTGATATTGAAAATGAAATAACCCATGATAAGTTCTCTAATTTAATATAGTCAATTAGTCATTCCATATAAGACTATGTTAATTAACATTGACATCCACATAAAAAATCAAGATTGGTTGTGTGGTTGGGTCTCCCCAGGCCCGCAGCCATGCTGATTGCTGACACACAAAAAAAAAATAAATCCAATATTCATGTTTGAAAGACTAAAATTTGAAAGTTGAAACACTAAAAAGTTGAAAACACAAAATTTCTTTCTTTCTTTTATCCAAAATTAGAAAACAACAAATATTCTTTCTGTATCCTTATGGTTTAAACATATACATTATTTTTTTTTTTTGACAAATTGGGGCACTTTCATTCCAAATCGAAACAGTGGAAGTACAGTTGATTACAACAAAGGAGATAACAGATTGACAATAATGATCCAATCTCGTGGGAGAGCGCCTAATCTAGCATTACGAGCAACCCAGTCGGCTAACAGATTATGACATCTAGGAACAAACATCACTTTCACCCACGGAGCCGAGACGAGAATGGTCAAGACACGAGCAAGTAAAGCCCAACATTGCCAAGGCCACTGGTACGGAAAAAGCTTAAGAGCATTCACCAAAATCTGACAATCAGATTTGACACAAGTTGAGCGTTGTTCTCGAGCCGCCAATGTCACTCCATTGAGAATAGCATAAGCTTCCGCCTGCATCGAATTGGAACAAAAGAATCTCTCAACCTTGTTGTATACACCTGACCGTGGGAATTAGCAACCGTAATCCCACAAGCCGCCATCTGTGATTCGGAAACAAAGGAACCATCACAGTGCACAATCCTATGAAAGACACTAGGCGGTGGTGAGGGGTTTGATCGGGATCCCCTAGGTTGAGTAGGCGCTATAGCTGAATGAATAGAAGAGAAAGAACGATCACAATTTCTAGCTTCAGCCAAACCTAGAAATTCTCTCCCAGCTAATGCAGCCGTTGAGGGCGGGGAAATAGCCTTGTTCTCAAAAACGAACCCGTTCTGAGCGATCCAAATATTCCATAAGCAGCATATAATCCTCTTGATCTTCTCATCCGACACTTTCTCTCTAAGGGAGAAGAACCACTCCGCGAATGTAGTCTCAGGTGTCGGTGGGATGGAAGGCCCTCCAAAGTACTCTTAGCGTGCATGTAGTGAAGAACATGTGCATGATCGACTCCACTTGATGCTCACAAATGGGGCACAAAGGATCCATCGAACACGTCCTAGAGAGGAGACGCTCATGAGTAGCAATTGCACTCTTTGCACTCTTCCATATGAAGAAACGAAGCTTTGGTGGGACTGATAGAGACCAGAGCCATTTCCAGTCTTGCCTATTGGGGTGAGCCTCATTTGAACCTGCAGACAAAGACAAAGAAGCATGGTCTCTAGATTCACGCAATGATCTATAAGCAAAACTTACCTTGTACGCCCCTGTGGTTGTGTACTTCCAAACCCATTTATCCTCATATGTATATGGGCCGATTGGAAAAACAGATACATTTATTGGTAATGATTCATGTCTTTATTTAAAGAGACCATGGTTCAAACCTATAATTGATGTATTTTTTATGAATAAGAAATAATAATTGTGAAGACAAATCTATCATTTCTATTTTCATTCCCATCAGAGGGAATTTGAAATACTTAAGAATTGCTTTTAACTATGCTATTCATAAATTATTAAAAATAATTTTTTCATAAATTATGGGACATTGATAAATGGCCAGTTTAGCTAGTGAAACAACGTAGGAGAGCCGATAGTGTGTTAGAATTCCACTCCAAGCGTTGACCCCCTTAAGTAGCATTTTGGGCGGATGTATGACTTTGCCATGCTTCCAGGGGTGTAAGGGCTCGTTCTAAAGCTCCTTAGCAGACATCCTGACTCGTCTTTACATGTCTACCCCAAGCGTATATCGCCTACTGTCGCTTGACCGATCGAAGTTTAACCTGCATGTGGTGATAAAGAATACCGAGCTCGTGAAAGCTTAGGTTCTTTTGTCAAAGTCGCACAACTATGACTCAAACTCGGATAACCTGAATCAATTTTCAAACAAAGATAAAAGTAAAGGATACGTGGGGATAGATATTCGCCACAATCAAGTGTGATCGCTTTATTGATAAGAGTCTTGTCAAACTCTTCTGAAATCTTCAACAGAAAAACTCAAACAACAATCTTGCCCTAGCTATGGAATCCACCAAAAGCTAAAACAATAAACCATAAGCACTCATGCTCCAATGGGAAAAGCTCCTCATGGTTAATTTTCATTCAACAAAAATCACTAAGCCTAAAATTCGTCTTTACAACCCTTATATAGCCTGGGGCAAATAAAATAATCAAATATCCAAAAAGGAACAAAACCCTAAACCTAAAAGGTAATTTTAGCCCGTCAGACCAAATTCCACGGTCGTGGATTTTGGTCTTCTAACCGTGAATTTCTCCTGCTTCAAATCCACGGTCCAAACCTCAATTCCACGGCCATGGATTTTGAAGCCCTAGCTGTGGATTTTGTGCTGCTAAAGAATCACATCACCCCCTCCCCGTTGAAGAAGTTTTGTCCTCAAAGCTTTCCATCCTGGCTTCCAAACAAAATTTTGTATATAATTAGCACCAAGAAAGAATAAACATTCTCCACAATCCCACGGAATCAAGAGCTCAAACAGCCGGTCAAACATGGGCTCCAAATCATGAGTGTCGAAGCTCAAGTCAACATGAATGTTTCTATATATGAAACCTCCATCCAAGTTTCCAAACATAATTGGTTGATCCGAAAGCATCCAAACTTGAAGTTCCTCGTCCAAAATCTCCATCCTTCACTAGACTCAAGCCACCGTAGTTTGTCTTCTTGCCTTCACAGCAATTAGTCGTCCAAAGCAAGCTATCAAAGTTCAAAGCTTGAAGACTCGTACACCTCAGCTCCTTCAAATCATCAGCAACTTCCTCCGGAGATAAAGGTTTAAAATGAACACCTTCTTCTGATGTTACAATCGAAGCTTTTGGATCTTCTAGTGACTAGATGAACTCCTCGATCATGGAACCAGGTTTGTCCCAGTACAAGTTGATTTGTAAGCATGTACACCACGTCACACAAGACCTCATTTTAGTAGCGTCCAATGGGGAATTTCACATGAACATGTGTAATCACGACGCTTGGAAACTGTTCGCCATGAAGCGATCAAACTTTCTGCGGGATGGAACTGCGTTAGTAGTCCCAATTTCTCCACTGTTCTTGCGCTGATCAAATTCAATATGATCCCTCCATCTACCAGCACAGAACTCAACTTCTCTTTAATCAAACAACGAGTATAGAACAAATTACCTTGCCCTAACTCTTATGTCATTGTCGGAGCTTGCAGAAAGTTTATAATCCTCTTCTCCTGTCCATTGAGTTGAACAAGGCTTTGATACCACTTGATAAGGAATCCCGAGCTCGTTAAAGCATAGGTTCTTTTGTCAAAGTCCCGCAGCTACGACTCAATCTCGGATAGCCCGAATCGATCTTCAAACAAACATAAAAGTAAAGGATACTTGGGGATAGGTACTCGCCACAATCAAGTGTGATCGCTTGATTGATAAGAGTCTTGCCATCTGGAATCTTCAATAGAAAACTCAAACAAGGATCTTGCCTTAGCTATGGAATCCACCAAAAGTTAAAACAATAAACCAAAAGCACTCATGCTCCATGTGAGAAAAACTCCTCAGAGTTAATTTTCTTTCAAAAAAATTCTACAACTACAAGTCTAAATTTCATGTTTACAACCCTTTATATAACTCAGGACAAATAAAATAATTAAAATTCCAAAAAGAAACAAAAACCTAAACCTAAAAGGTAATTTTAGCCCATCAGACCAAATTTCACGGTCTCCCCCCTTGAAATCCACGATCGTGAATTTTAGCCTACTAACCGTGAATTTCTCCTGCTTCAAATCCACAGTACAAACCTCAATTCCACGACCGTGAATTTTGATGCCCTCACTGTCAATTTTGTGCTGCTCGAGAATCACACCATTTGGCGTCATTAAAATTGGCAACCGCGGAATACAATCCTTCGTAAAAAAGAGAACAAAGAACATGGACGAGTATCAGAATCGGAAGGGATAATTTACTGACCGACAGAGACCAATTTGACGGTTCAGATCACTCCCTCATTTGCAAACCATTTTCAGATTTTGGATTCTTCAACATGCAAAACTGCACCCACAAAGTTCCAATGAGTAATTAGTCCCGCAAGCCTTTTTTTTTTTTTGTCTCTCTGTCTCTGTCGCAAGGTTAACATTTAGCTACTTAGATTTGTTTTTAGCTGTTCTTCGATCTGGTGGTCTCACTTAAAACAACAAAACTAGCTACTTTTGTCTTCATCAGCTGTCATGTCTAGTCCAAGAGGAGCGTACATCTGGTCGACTTAGTTTCAAACTATACCATCATTATGTTTGCCTGGAGACCAGCAAAGACCATGAATTAATATATATGGTGATAGTGCCGACGTCGTCGTATAATTTTACACTAGAAGTAATTATCTATCACGTAGTTTTTTTTAATTCCCCCCAGCATGGGTTGATTTTCATATTTTCGGAATGAGAATAGATGCTAAGCGCCATGCTAACTAAGCTAATAGCCTTTAGATTAAAACTAGATTTGGGCCTGTCCGTTGGCCGGATGAATCAAATCAATAATATAAACAATGAGAGTAATTACCCGAATTATTTATTTGGTACAACAAAAGAAATTAAATTATTTAATCATCTAAAATATCTAAAAATAATATACATAATAAGTTTTACAACATTTAGACATTCATATACAAAAATCCTTACTAAAAGTAAACAACAAAACCCACGCAAATAACCGATTCCTAAAAAATTTAATATAAACACATCTCAATTTTCTCTTTGTTATTAGAAATTACATCAAATTTCCTTTTAGATTTCTTTTTTATTGCTCCGCTATTAAAAGCATCTTCTCCATAAAGCTACAAATTGAAGAGATTTTTATATTCATCATCAATAGTCTCATCCTTCTTCTGCATTTCTTTAACAACTAAATTTTAAGGGGAAAATGTTTGAAACTAAGAAACATCTTTTCATGATAGTATAATTTCACGTCATCCAAATCATAAATATTATCAATCATTCGCTCTTTCGCCCCATCATTAAAATTTATATATCCCAATAACGTTTCTATCTTCATCACTGAATTCACTGTCTCTACTATTAGCATACTCTTCCTTCTTCTCCTCCATTTCACTGATTGCAAAAATCCAAAGGCAAAATGTTCAGAATGGTGAAAACTCAATTTTCAAGAACTTAAATTTACCCAGTACATGTCATAAATTTTGTCAGAGATTGCTTTTCTTCATCCTTCATTATCTTCAAGGTTGTGTATCCGCTTATAGAGTTCGTGATGTTGTAATAGGTGAGCTTCATATGAAAATTTGACTTCATGCTCTCAATTTGTATGAGATGAGGAGGTGAAAGTTCTCTCATTTTGTCACTATCTTTGAATAGTTTCTCAGTAAACATTACAAAAAATTCAGTTGCTTTCGATACCGAACAATAACATTTCATTAAACAATGTTGTCTACAACTCCCCATAAATCCTGAAACTATAAATTAACAACAATTGAGATACTATTTGGTAAAAATCTTTATGTTTTAGTAGGTACGTTATTTCCTCTCGAATGGATGAACTTGAAGTTAAAAACAATAGAACAGTAAAGGTAGGTTGTTACCTAACTACTATTTCCTTGATGTTGTTGTACATACTCAACATAGTCTTCTTCAAAGTATTCCAATTAATATGGTTTTTCTAATCCATTTTTTTTAAATTAGAGTTGAAATGAATGATATATTAGTCTGCTCAGTATGCGAGAAATTGAAAACTCTTAACTATAGCTCTTGAAATTTGTGCCCGCTATAACTAAAGAGGATTATGTTGCCAAATTCCATCCATTTGGTTGTGATCCACATTTCATCTCTCTAAGAGAAACCAATGCCTAAAATAAGAATTGAGGAATAACTATTTATTAATCAACAATCATTACTAAATTATACACATAAAAATTAAATTTTTTTATTTTTTATTTGTCAAGGACGGGTGGGGATAATCGACATTGCAAGAAAGACAACAATAACACCAAAGTAAAAAACACATATTTACATGTTTGACTAACGCAAAACGTATGCATATGTGAAGTATATATAATACTTCTCCAAATGGCCTAACTCTAATCTAATTTGTAATTATATAATAAAGAGATATAATGGAAACCTCAAATCAGATAATTAGCAAAAGTCGAATTTGCCTCAAACACTTAACCATAGAATAAAAAATATGAACAAACTAAACCTATATACCCACACGTGGGAACGGATCAGGTCAGTAACCTTATGGTGAGTGACCATGAGTAACCATCCCACATTAGCATGACATCAGCATCCCTCTCTCTTCTGGAAAACCTTTAATTTTCTCTTTCTTAATCTTTGACGGACGATTTCTCACTCGTTTTAAGTCGAAATTTAATTTTTTTTACAGTTAGATCAGATTAATTGTGCTCTTCAAAATGATATCCACTTTGATATATTTTTCTAACAAAAAAAATTAAGCAATTTTTTACCAGTCTATACCATATGGTATTGACTGGTATTGAAATAAGAGCATACCTATGGTTTGAAAAGCGTACCATGGTGGTATGAACAAACCAAGACTGTTGGATGGTTGAATACATGATAGTAGAAGTATATTAACTGCCATTTACGACTTTTATCATTGTGTACCACAAGATACCACCCCGTACCAGGGTGGTATTGTATGATATTGTGTGGTATTTTTTGGTCATGTAATTTGTTCACCCAGAAATTTGTAGATCCAATAGATCATGATGAACTCGTCTCATCTGTGCAAACGTTTTTAAAAACAAATTAAAAACGAAGAAAATACCATATGATATGCAGTTGGTACTGAGAGGACATAATTTTTTTTTCTCAAAAAATATTGAAAATTGATCTCATTTTGTAGAGCGCAATGAACTCGTTCCATCTATGCCAAAAAAAAAAATCCGAGTTAAAACGAAAAAGATATGAGCCGATTAAGAAAGTTAGGAAAAATAAAAGGGTTAATTGTATAGTTGGTCACTGAGATTACAAAAAACGTTCATGTTTGATCACTGGAAATATTTAAATCCAACCTTGGTCACTCAAATTAGTTAAATGGTTCAAATTTGGTCACTCTCCGTCCAACTCCGTTAAATTTGTCTGATGTGGCAGTCAACCCTTAAAGTTGACCGTTAACTCAGTGACGTGGCAATTAAAAAATAATAAATAAATTAAATTTTAATTTTCTACCATTTCCAACTCATTTTCACAATAAAGTAAAATAAAAAAATAAAAAAATTATTATAATAAAAAAAAGGAAGCAAAATTTGATTCTTTTTGGGTTTCTCCGTTCCGACTATTTTTTTTTCTCTTTTTTTTAATATTTATAATCATCTCTCCTCTTCTCCAGTACTTTACTGCCTCCTTCCTCCCTTCCGTTTTATTTTCTTCTCCTTCTCTAAAATCGACAATGGCGGTGGAAAAGAAATACATTACCAGCGAGGACCTGAAGAAGTACAAGAAGCCCGGCGACCTCTGGATCACGATCCAGGGGAAAGTCTACGACGTCTCCGAGTGGGTGAAGCGGCACCCGGGCGGCGAGGTAGCCATCGCCAACGTCGCCGGCCAGGACGTCACCGACGCATTCATAGCCTACCACCCGGGTACGGCGTGGAAGAATCTCGACCCGCTCTTCACCGGCTACCACCTCGAGGACTACGCCATCTCCGACGTTTCCAAGGACTACCGCCGCCTCGCCGCCGAGTTTTCCAAGCTCGGCCTCTTCGACAAGAAAGGGCATGTCGCCTTCTCGGCCCTCGCCGTCGTGGCGGCCCTGTTCTCGCTGGTGGTATACGGCGTCTCGCCCAGCTCCTCGCCGGCAACTGCCTCACGGGGATCAGCATCGCGTGATGGAAGTGGACGCACAACGCCCACCATCTGGCGGTGAACAGCCTCGATTACGATCCAGATCTGCAGCATATCCCGGTGTTCGCCGTCTCGACCCGCTTATTCAAATCGATCTGATCCGTCTTCTATGGCAGAAACCTAGATTTCGATCCCGTGGCGAGGTTCCTCGTTAGCTACCAGCACTGGACGTTCTACCCGGTAATGTGCGTCGCCAGGGTGAATCTCTACCTCCAGACCTTCATCCTCTTATTTTCCCCCAAACGAATTGTCCCCGACAGGGCACTGAACATAGTCGGGATTTTGGTTTTCTGGCCCCGGTTCCCTCTTTTGGTTGCTCGCTTGCCGAATTGGCCCGAGAGGTTCGTGTTCGTGCTGACTTCCTTCGCGGTGACATCGATCCAGCATGTTCAGTTTTGTCTCAACCATTTCCCGGCGAATATGTACATGGGTCCACCGAGGGCCAACGATTGGTTCGAGAAGCAGACGAGGGGGACGGTCGACATCTCGTGCCCGTCGTGGATGGGGAAGCTGTTCATACCTAGCGAATCCTGTGCCCAAGAACATGGTGTGGGAAGCTGTTCATACTCACGGTTGAGGGGGATTTTTGTTTGTTTGTTGACGAATTGCCATCGCTATCCAGGGGGAAGTTTTTTGAAAATTTTGCTTCCTTTTTTTTATTATAATTATTTTTTTCTTATTTTACTTTATTGTGAAAATGAGTTGGAAATAGTAGAAGATTAAAATTTATTTTATTTATTATTTTTTAATTGCCACGTCACCAAGTTAACAGTCAACTTTGAGGGTTGACTGCCACATCAGACAAATTTAACGGAGTTGGACGGAGAGTGACCAAATTTGAATCATTTAACTAATTTGAGTGACCAAGGTTGGATTTAAATATTTCCAGTGACCAAACATGAACGTTTTTTATAATCTCAGTGACCAACCATACAATTAACCCAAAAATAAAAATGATCTTTAATTCTCCATCCTTAGATCTGGATTTTCTAAATGAAGGGTCCAGATTTGGTTATTGATGTGTGCATAACCATGGGTTATGCACTCTATCTTGAGCCCCCACACGTCTCAACCTTCGCGGCTCATGCACCCATCAATAACCAAATATGGACCCTTCATTTAGAAAATCCAGATCTAAGGATGAAGAATTAAAGATCATTTTTATTTTTCCTAACTTTCTTAATTGACTCATATCTTTTTCGTTTTAACTCGAATTTTAATTTTTTTTTTCCACAGATGGAACGAGTTCATCGTGCTCTACAAAATGAGATCAATTTTCAATATTTTTAGAGAAACAAAAATTATGGCCTCTCGGTACCAACTGCATACCATATGGTATCTTCTTCGTTTTTAATTCGTTTTTGAAAACGTTAGCATAGAAGGGACGATTTCATCATGATCTATTGGATCTACAAATTTGTGGGTGAACAAATTACAGGACCAAAAAATACCACACAACACCATACAATACCACCCTGATACGGGGTGGTATCTTGTGGTATACAATGTTAAAAGTCGTAAATGACAATTAATATACTTATACTATCATATATTCAACCATCCTACAGTCTTGGTTTGTTCATACCACCATGGTACGCTTTTCAAACCATAGGTATGCTCTTATTTCAATACCAGTCAATACCATATGGTATAGACTGGTAAAAAATGGCTCAATTTTTTTTGTTCGAAAAATATATTAAAGTGAATATCATTTTGAAAAGCACAATTAATCTGATCTAACTGTGCAAAAAAATTAAATTTCGACTTAAAACGAGTGAGAAATCATTTGTCAAAGATTGGGGGGGGGGGGGGGAATTAAAGGCTTTATATGAGAGAGAGGATGCTGATGTGAACAAGTTACTCATGGTTACTCACCATAAGGTTACTGACCTGATGCGTTCCCAACCTTCGCCCAAATTTCATACTACCATATTTCCTAACAAAAATAATAATATAATAATTGGTTTAATTATAATTTCCTACTAAAGCTCGTTTTACATTCGTATAATTTTAAAATAATTCTATTTGAACTTTTATTAATTAAAAGGACAAAAATATCCTTCCTAAATTTACTCAGAATGCAGAAAATTTAGAATTAAGCATGTTCTTATGGAGAACCTCTTTCTATTAGTGTTAGGATAACAATCCTAGGGTTAGAATTGATTAGATGATATTGTAGTAATATTAATCCAAACGGCGATGTCAGGACAAGGTGAATGGATTAGCGAGGCTGATTGGCTAAAAGTGATGAACGAGTACAGATCTAGTAGTGTTTTCTTCTTAGGGATTGCGTAGTAGATCTGAATATTGGGGTAGGAAAACCAGTGTTGTTTTTTTCTTAGATTTCTTCCTTAGTAGTGTTTCCCCCCAATAATTGTGTAGTAGTGGTTTTCTTTTGAGGTAACGTGATTGAGTAATAATATAATCAGTAAAACACTACTAATTAAATTACAATAACTAGTGGTACTTATATAAAAACACTACTATAAGACACCAAAATAACTACTTAAAAATCAGTAAAACACTACTAACTAGATTCAAATAACTACAATACTTGTATAAAAACACTACTTTAAGACATCAGAATTGCTTGCTACTATGTTTTGATTGTATTTTTCTAGTAGTATTTTTCACGTTAAAATATCTCCATAAGAAAGAAGAAAAATATTTTAAAATTTAATTTATTTATTAAATTTAATTTCACAAAGTACAGAATATACCCTTCATTAACCCCTATGAAGTTAGCACTCTATCTCCTCCCTTAATCACTAAAATGTTTTTAGTGACTTTCAAGAACAACTGAACAAGCAGATCCTAGAAGGAACTTTGGAATGGATCTAAAGAGGAACTCAAGTCCTTGGAGAGGAAGATAGAATCACGGCGGCACAAGCATCAAGTAAACCCGTGATGATACTACTGAACCAATCTCTTGGACGACTGGTTTGATTAATCAAATTTTATACTCGAGATATTTTGATATTTTCTTATCTCCTACCCCTATCGCCAGAGAATCAATAAAAACCGAATCTCTTCCGACACAAACTTCAATGCTTTGTTATTTGGAAGCTTTTCAATTTTCATGGAGCATGATGAAAGAGGAGCTCCTGAAATGAAATCCTAAAGCATGTCAGCACCACCATTCTCTCCTCGCTACTACTTAAGGCACAAAGAAAAAGAATTTGGCTAGAGGACACCATTCGTAATTTCCATCCGCTTAATATATGCTAATTGTGATAGCAATTTGAACCCGTCCCACGGTTATTACTCGATCTGATCCACGATGAGGCGGGTATATCTGACCCGCAGTTGCGTGGGACGGGACATGGGTATCTACTTCCGACCCGACGCGTTCCGCCCCGAGAAATTTTACAATGCTATATAGTATTGGTGCTATAGGTTTTTGCCTTTATGGTACAACTTAAAATGGTACATTTACGTTATGGTACAACTTCATATTGTACCTATACCTTTTGTGCAAATTCTTTTACGGTACAACTTGAACTTGTACCTTTATGTGATGGTACAACTTCAAGTTGTAAAGTTGCACCATAACATAATGGTACAAATTGCTTTTGGTACAACCTAAACTTATACATTTAATTTTATGGTACAACTTTGAGTTGTACATTAAAGCACCAATGCTATATAGCATAGTAGAAGTGCTCGTCCCGCCCCATCCCGTTATTGACCCATTTTAACTCAAATACTTACCGTATCTATTCATATTTCTCATATTTTTAGTTTTCTTCAACAAGTTAGACTCCACTTTCAACTAGTTAGACTTAATTACACGTTCTATTATCAATATTCTTCATTCATAAAGTGTTTTCCACTTCGTTTTATTGCAAAAAATAAGATATTGCGTGTATTATCTTCATATAACATGTAAGAGTGGGTCGCTCCGCCCCGCCCCACCCAATACTCGCGCGGGTATTACCCGCCCAACCCGTAGTAGCGTGAGGCGGGACATGAGTATTAAGAAATCCGCCCCGCTCTGCCCCATTGTCATCACTAATGCTGATAACTGAGAAGGTAGCAATTGGCTTTCATCAACATTGTTGGATTACCCAATCAACGATATACCCTATGATTGGATACATCTTGCCATCATTGGTTTTAATAGAAAATAATAATTGATCATTTAGATGGGTCAAATCTCATTTTCTTTTAATTAATGGCTACTGCAGAAGCAGGTGATATGGACGTTAGATATAATTTGATGAGCTCCGACCAATCTTAAAGATCAATTATTGTTTCTATAAAATTGAACTTCGGGTTTGGGTTTAGATCAATAGGAATATGAGGTTTATCCATTAGAGATTAGAGTATAGTAACATACCCTAAATTCAGTTTCATTCATGGCCTCGATAGAGATATCTCACTGAAAGTATTTTGGTCTAGCCCGACCATTACTCGTCTCTTTTTTCTCTATCGGCGAATTGGTCTAGCCCAACCATAGTACTCTTGTAGCACACAAATCTGTATATATAGATTTATACCACTTCCTTAATTAGTTCTTACATGCCCCTCAAACAAAAAACAACTTATAGACTTGAAGTTTACATATGTCCGTCATACTATGATTATATTTATTATAAATATTAAAAATCATGATGACTTGAACATGAGATATAATAATCAAACCAACTTTAATTCCACAAACCAATTAATCCTTATGATAACTCTATATATCATGAGTCGATATACTAGTTACTTACACATTTATGCTCTATTATTATGATTGAAAATACTGATCCGCCTAATTCAATAATTTCAACCCACAATCTCATCTATCCTTATCAAAATGTTAACAAATCCTGGTGAATTTAAGCTAGCAAATTCCCACCAAAGAAACAACCCCATATGACAAACTTTTTTTTCCCTAGGGTTTGAGAGTGAGGAGAGGACAAACAACAACATGATCTCTTTGTCCATGTCCTATATCTTCTTGTCCCCATGCCCCATGCTGCATCAATGTTAAGCTTTAATAATTCCCCAATTTCCATAGCCATGAGACTGACCGACTGGAGACCCTATTTTGGCTGTTTGTTTGAATTGAGAATATAACAATGAAAAATTCAATTTCATCCTTTCAAGATTTCCTTCCTTTCGAGAAAGGCACATATATATACAACAGAATTACTATGCAACTCCAACGTTGGAGTATGTATGTTTTCTCCTCTTCAATGGTGTGAAATGAAGAGAATGTATAGAGCTTTGTGCTTGGTAGAAAAGGAGATCCTTTCAACCAAAAAGAGAAAAGGAGATCCTAGGAAGAATATATCTATAGCACAATACTTCAAAAAAAAAAAAAAAATGGTAGCAAGTGACAGGGAGGTGTTTGGTTGTTGGAAATTCGACATAGCTAGGTGGGGAGAGCCAGGAAAGGGACGTTTTTTTTTTGTTGTTGTACATTTTTGAATGATTGGGTTTGAATTCAATCATGCATGTTAGACACAGTACAATGGGGAAAAGCAGAGAGAATTGGACTCAGTGCAGTAATATAATAATATTAATTCACGATCACAATCACAATCACGATCATCCACTCAACCGAGATTGCTTGTTAGTAGGGCT